GTATCAAGTGGTAAAGCAAGGGGAGGAGGTGGTAGAACAGTTAGTGGTCCCCAAACCCTTTCGCCGGATGGTACTAGATTTAGCCCATGGGCATATAATGGGTGGACACCTGGGTGTAGAGAAAACAAAGGAGAGAATAACCCAGAGATTCTTTTGGCCAGGCTTACATGGAGACGTCAAAGCGCATTGTGAGTCATGCCCGGAATGTCAATATTCTGCGCCCTCACCCCATTTTCGTAGTCCGCTAGTACCTCTACCCATAATTGAAGTACCGTTTGAAAGAGTGGGCATGGACCTAGTGGGTCCAGTAGTAAAGTAAAGTCTGCCCGGGGCCATCAGCACATACTGGTGATACTTGACTATGCCACCCGGTATCCTGAAGCCATCCCCTTGCGTAATACCTCAGCTAAAAATATCGCCAAAGAGCTTGTCCGGGTGTTTAGTCGTGTAGGTATTCCAAAGGAGATATTAACGGATCAGGGCACGCCATTTATGTCTAGAGTTATGAAAGAGTTATGCAAACTGTTCAAAATCTCCCATCTCCGTACCTCGGTCTACCACCCCCAAACCGATGGGCTTGTGGAAAGGTTTAACAAGACCCTTAAGAATATGTTAAAAAAAGGTGGTGGACAAAGATGGGAGAAATTGGGATTTTTTGCTACCATATCTCATGTTTGCTATACGGGAGGTACCTCAGGCATCTACAGGATATTCACCTTTTGAATTACTGTATGGTAGACATCCCAGGGGATTGCTAGATGTTGCAAAAGAAACCTGGGAGACAGAGTCCACGCCCTATAGAAGTGTCATCGAGCATATCTCACAGATGCAGGATAGAATCGCAGCTGTCATGCCACTTGTTCGGGAACACATGGAGCAAGCCCAGGAGGTCCAGAGAAGGGTTTATAACCGGGGTGCCAGGATTCGTACCTTCAACCCTGGGGATAGAGTGCTGGTGCTAGTCCCCACCGTGGAAAGTAAATTCCTCGCCAAGTGGCAAGGTCCCTTTGAAATTAGGGAGAAAGTGGGGGAAGTAAATTATAAAGTTTACCAGCCAGGGAAAAGGAAACCCGAACAAATCTATCATGTTAATCTCTTAAAACCTTGGAAAGACAGGGAAAGTTTGTTGGCAGTACCAAGCCCCCAAAAGGACGTGAGTCCCGTGGCCCCTCAGGTACCTATAACGGAAACCTTGTCAGTAGCCCAACAAAATGATGTTAAGGAGTTTGTGAGGAAAAATGGAGATTTCTTCTCTCACCTACCTGGACTGACGACGGTCATACAGCATGACATAGTTACCCAGCTCGGGGTCCGCGTAATGTCAAGCCCTATAGAATACCCGAGGCCAGGCGGGAAGCGGTGGCAAAGGAAATAAAGGACATGTTAGAGTTGGGAGTGATTGAGGAATCTCACAGTGAGTGGTCGAGTCCCATAGTGTTGGTCCCAAAACCAGATGGAACAATTTGTTTCTGTAATGATTTCAGGAAACTGAACAGTGTGTCTAAGTTTGATGCGTACCCGATGCCTCGGGTGGATGAGCTCATTGACAGGTTGGGAACGGCTCGGTACATAACCACCTTAGATTTAACCAAAGGCTATTGGCAGATTCCTTTAACGGAAGCTGCAAAAGAAAAGACGGCATTCTCTACCCCCGAGGGGTCCTTTCAGTATAAGCGGATGCCGTTTGGTCTACATGGTGCTCCGGCATCATTCCAACGAATGATGGACAAAACGTTTAGACCACATCGCCAATATGCAGCTGCCTATTTGGACAATGTCGTCATCCACAGTCCAGACTGGGAGTCTCATTTGTCCTGCCTGCAAGCGGTAGTAGATTCGCTGAGGGAAGCAGGTCTTACCGCCAACCCCAGAAAGTGTGCCATAGGCTTAGAGGAGGCCAAATATCTTGGCTACATCATTGGTCGAGGTCTCATTAGGCCTCAGATCAATAAAATTGAGGCGATTCAAAAGTGGCCCCAACCTGTAAATAAAAAGCAAGTCCGGGCATTTCTTGGGATCACAGGATACTACAGGCGGTTTATCCCCAATTTTGCCACCATTGCAGCCCCACTGACAGATCTGACAAAAGGTAGGGGGTTGGTCATGATTAAGTGGAATCCCGAGGCGGAGACCGCATTTCAAAGGCTAAAACAAGCTCTCTGTGCTCAACCTGTGCTTGTGACGCCAGATTTCACAACAGAGTTTGTGGTACAGACTGATGCCTCTGACGTGGGACTAGGTGCGGTACTGTCCCAAATCAGAGATGGGGAGGAGCACCCTGTGGTCTTCCTAAGTAGGAAGCTCAACAAACATGAGAGAAATTATGCCATTGTGGAGAAGGAATGTTTGGCCATCAAATGGGCCTTGGAGGCCCTGAAATATTACCTGTTAGGAAGACTGTTCAAGTTGGTTACTGATCATGCCCCGCTCAAATGGATGTGTGATAATAAGGAGAAAAACAGTCGAGTGACAAGGTGGTTTCTCGCGCTACAAGTGTTCAAATTCACAGTGGAACACAGAGCGGGGAAACTGCAAAGTAATGTAGATGCCCTTTCCCGGGTCCATTGCCTGGTTGGGACAGTTGCTCAGCCGCAGGGGCTTGAGCAGAGGGGGGGGGATATGTGACAGTATGAACGGCAAACTGATGGATGGACGGTATGTGTCACCTCGCATGAGATCATACTGTGAGGTGTAAGGTGGAGTCCACTCCGGGTTTTCGGGGCCACAATGGCAGAGGTGGTTCCGGACCAGAGTTTGGGCTCCACTGATGACCACCAGCAGGTGATACAAAAAGGGCAGAGCTGGAGCAAGGAGTTGCTCGTGTGGCCTGGGACTCAGAGAGGTATTCTGAGAGAGCTGTGTATGGACTATACCTACAAGAAAAGGTTTGCTGTTATTTTGGTGACAGGGAGAAGCCCTTCACCTCTGAGAGAGGAATCATCTTCTGTTTAGTTAGTGCCTGGATGGCAAGGGTTTATTTTTGATGTTTTGTTTTATTTTGAACACGCACGCACGCACGCACGCACACACACACACACAAAGTATTGGGATTCCTGCCTTCCCACGCACATTTAATGGCATTCCAGTCTTCGTCCGTAGGGTTCAATATTGAGTTGGCCCACCCTCTTCAGCTATAACAGCTTAAACTCTTCTGGGAAGGCTGTACGCAAGGTTTAGGAGTGTGTCTATGGGAATGTTTGACCATTCTTCCGGAAGCACATTTGTGAGGTCAGGCACTGATGTCGGACGAGAAGGCCTGGCTCGCAGTTTCCGCTCTAATTAATCCCAAAGGTGTTCTGTCGGGTTGAGGTCAAGACTCTGTGCAGGCCAGTCAAATTCCTCCACCCCAAACTTGCTCATCCATGAATTTATGAATCTTGCTTTGTGCACTGGTGCGCAGTCATGTTGGAACAGGAAGAGGCCATCCCTAAATTGTTCCTACAAAGTTGGGAGCATGAAATTGTCCAAAATGTCTTAGTATGCTGATGCCTTAAGAGTTCCCTTCACTGACACTAAGGGGCCAAGCCCAAACCCTGAAAAACAACCCCACACCATAATCCCCCTTCCACCAAACTTTACACTTGGCACAATGCAGTCAGGCAAGTACCATTCTCATGGCAGCTGCCAGACACGCCCATCAGATTGCCCGACAGAGAAGCATGATTCATCACTCCAGAGAACATGTCTCCACTTCTCTAGAGTCCAGTGGCGGCGTGCTTTACAACAATGCATCGGACACTTTGCATTGCACTTGGTAATGTAAGGCCTGAATGCAACTGCTCGGCCATGGAAACCCATTCCATGAAGCTCTCTACACACTGTTGTTGTGCTAATCTGAAGGCCACACGAAGTTTGGAGGTCTTTAGCTATTGACTCTGCAGACAGTTGGCGACTTCTGCACACTGTATGTTTCAGCATGCCTTGACCCCACTCTGTCATTTTACGTGGCCTACCACTTTGTGGCTCAGTTGCTGTTGTTCCCAGTTGCTTCCACTTTGTTATCATACCACTAACGGTTGACCGTGGAATATTTTAAAAATGATTCAGTGTAACTCAGGGTGTGGTTGCCACCATCCCTTTTCATACAATATTTTCTTATATTTGATGTGATTTTAAGGGCAACCTTTAAATACACAGCAGAAGCTACTTCTTTAAAAATACAACATGTTATTTATACCTCCAGTATGTCATTAAAAAGATTCTGTTAGCACATACAAAATGAATATTCAAATGCTTCAAAATACATTTCAGAGCAATTCAAACTACTTATTAAGTTCTAATGTTGCGGTGTAATCCAACATTGATCCGGTGGTATCCCCCATAACTGATTTCCATCTTATAACCTTTGAATTTTGATTACAGATACATTCAGCTTGGGGATCAAATGCATTTTGAATATTTATCATAAATTCTTCTTCAGGGATATGATACCACTATAAAATATAAGTAATAGTTTTATTATATACATTGTTGATACAAAACCAAAGCATATTGGGGTAAAGAACTTACATAACCACCATAGGTATTCTAGAGTGTCTCATTATGTGAAGAGATAAATCCCCTCCAAGAGTGAAGTCGTCATTCTGATATGTAAGGACCACAAGTACCACGCCACTGCCATGATAGAAAGTATATATATTGCAGCCAAGTAAGCTAGGTATACCGTTTACTAGTTAAAATATATTGAAGTGTATATTCCAACTAATTTGACCTTTTGTACTTCCCATTAACTGGTACTTTATAAGGAAGGGGCTAAATCTAGATATTGAGAATGTTTTACAATATGCCAAATAGTGAAACACAGAGACTTAAACATTCTATTAGCACTTACTAATGGTTCAACAAGTCACCATAAATGCAAGCGGCCAACACTCATGCTTATTTCCAAGCTTATCAATAGTTGCAGTGAAATAAATTTACGTTCCTCTAAAAAGTTCAACAGCATAAAACAATAACTCCAACTGGGTTCTAAGATCCTCACCCAGCTTCTCTAATTACAGCTTTAATTTCCCTGGCGGTATTCCCGAGTGTAGCTCGGGGTAAAGTTTCAGTACCACAAGTGGTAACCCCGAGCTACACTCGGGCTTACCATGCGGCATTGCTCAGGGATTCCCTGCAGCGCTTACCTTGTCCTTCGCTCCTGCGATGTGTCCCCTGCAGCGTCCCTGGCCATCTCCTCCTCCTTCTGTGTTCCGGTCCCTGTGACATCGGGACGTACGGGGCCCAGAACCAGCGGCAAATTTGAAAGTTTTAAAAAATGTTATTTTTTTGTAAATGATTATTACATAGCACAACATTGCTGTTTCAAAGCATTTCACATACATTTTGTCCCTACTGCTTTGTCCTGTGCCCTGCCTGCATTTTGACTGTTCTTTCTGCCTGGAAACTGGGAAAAGTCCATGGCGTCCAAAAAGCGTCCCTTTAGGTCAAAATTGGTTTTAGACCAGCCAGAGAACAGTGATAGTAAATTAGAACTACTTGCAGAATTGAGTGATAATGATTTGTGGGGAAATTCGTCATCAAACACTGAAAACGATTCTGCGACTTTGCTCAGCGATGTGCGAACTTGGCGCTATATTTCAAATTTTCAGTGTTTTTGGTTTGATTATATTATTGAATTAAATTTATTATTATTATTATTATATTATTATTATATTATTATTTTTTATGATTATTTATTAAATTATAATTTATGATTTCGTGTTTCAAGTTTTATCATATCCGGAATGTTTACTAGACTCTTGTTCGCACAGATTTCAGTTAGTTATTCCTAAAAATGACAGGCCTACAATAAAAAAACTACATATTTCCATGCAAAATAATAGTAGTACCGCTTTCAGAACCAAGAATCTGAAATAATCATACCCCCAGGGAGGTTAAATAGGGCAGATACTAGATGTGGTGTTTCCTGTTCTCTCCCTCCAGCGGAATAAGTGTGCTGTATGTGGTGGGGGGAGCAATATGGCTCCCATCGTGTGGTCCCTGACGTTCTCCAAAACTGCGCATATGTGAACGCACTAAGTGCATTGACGTCACGTCCGGCTCTGGAAAAAGACAGGTAAACATTAAAAATACAGTTCAGAGATTTTATTGTATTTTGCAAATCCTCAGTCATTTTTTCCTCGCTGGAGTAATTGCTTGTTCCAGCCGCCTCCCCTTGCAGGAATATGTATTCTTTCAAGAGCTGAAAAAACAACCTTTGGAATCCTATATTTGTGAAATTTGGCAACATGGCTTCCCAGGGGTGAATAAAGATGACCTATTATTATACGATGAACATGTTTGTAAATACGCCTCCAAAATTCTTGACGTGTTTTACCAACATAAAAAGATCTACTTTCACATGGCATAAGGTATACTACCCCTTTTGTCTGACAGTTGACAAAATGTCTGGAGATAAATTTCTCCATTAGGGAGAGTGAATTGTTTTTTGTTACTTAGATAGGGACTGTGCACATCCTCCACAAGGGAAGGTGCCAACATATTTGAATGGATCATGTCTCTGATTCCCCCTATATTCACTTTGTACAAGAAAGTCTTTTAAGGATCCTGCTCTTTTGTAGGTAATTGAGGGATTGTCGCTTACTAGGTTAGCCAAGACAGATCAATGATTTTGTAATATCTTTCTTATTTTCGCATGTTCATTGTAGTATTTTAGAATGACCCTAACTTCCTCCCTATTAGTTCTTTGATGATCTTTGGACTTGAATAGAAATGTTTTACACAATTAAGTCTTTTTAAGACATGTTTTTGTGTATCCTCATGCTAGTAATCTTTTTTGTAAGCTCATCTGCCTCTTCTTGAAACACCCTTTCATCTGTACAGTTACATTTATAAATAAAAATTGACTATACAGGATAGATCTCTTCAGGGGCTCCGGATGAAAGCTGCTGGCATGCAAGATGGTATTTCTAGCAGTTTCCTTCCTAAAGAGGCTACTCTCCAGGCACCCCCCTTGTCCCTTGGAAATGTTAATATCCAAAAAATTGATTTTTTCCATGTCGTAGGTCATAGTAGAGAAAAGGTTTGAATCATTTTGATTCATCACCTCAAGACACTGTTTCAATAACAATTCAGGTCCATCCCAGACAAAGAATACATCATCTATATATCTTTGCCAGATGATAATATATTGTGTATATCTGGAAAAAAATTAATTGGACAAAAACCCCTGCTCCCACACCCCAAGGTACAGATTGGCGTAGGATGGGGCACAACACGTCCCCATCGTTACGCCCTGTGCCTGGAGGTAGTGGGAGCCTTGGAACAAAAAGGCATTATGATTCAAAATAAAATTAAGCATAGTCAGGATAAATTCATTAAATCCCTATTCATGCATCCCTCGTTGCTGCAGAACATATTTAACTGCAGCAATGCCTTTGTTGTGTGGGAAGCAATTATAAAGGGATTCCACATCGACTAGGATGCCAAAGTTCTTTTTTTCAGCTCTTGAAAGAATACATATTCTTGCAAGGGGAGGCGACTGGAACAAGATATTACTCCAGCGAGAAACACTCTTCGAGGGGATTTATCTCTTCACATAATGATACACTCTAGAATACCTATGGTGGTTATGTAAGTTCTTTACCCCAATATGCTTTGGTTTTGTATCAACAATGTATGTAAACAAATCTTGTTAAATTTGACTATCAACTATTACTTCTATTTTAGAGTGGTATCCTATCCCTGAAGAAGAATTTATGATAAATATTCGAAATGTGTTGAATCCCCAGGCTGAATGTATCTATACTCAAAATTCAAAGGTTATAAGATGGAAATCAGTTATGGGGGATACCACTGGATCAATGTTGGCTTATACCACAACATTAGAACTTAAGAAGTAGCTTGGATTGCTCTGAAATGTATTTTTAAACATTTTGGATACTGTGTTAACAGAATATTTTTAATATAAAAATGGGGTGTGCAGCGCTAAACAGATAAAACACACTGTCATAAATATGACAAAATATGACAAAAAGTAGAAAAGGTCCTATAAACTGAATGATAAACAGTCCGAGGTAATATGATATCAGTCCAAATAGGTATATTCCAGTGATGGAGTATATATGACTTCAATCCAAATGGGTATATTCCAGCATCCTAACATGAAGGTGTAGAAAAATTGCCCACTCACCGGAAGTGCAATTTAATGTGCACATAGAAATTCCATGTAGCTGGAGGTCCCGTGAAGGTACAGCCTGATGATAAAGGTATCCTCTGGTGGTTAATGGGGTGACGGCTGCCAGAGATGATGGTCTGACCAGGCATGGCATCACCCCTACAGGAGACGTGTTATTACACGAAGCGCGTCTAGGAGGAGCCTCTGCACGCCTTGATGTCACGCCACCGGATCAGGAGGTCCGGTGGCCATCATATTTATTCACTGGTCAGTGCATTCAAGAGCTCATTCACATTATATTTGTATAGGTTACTATCACCCTGTACGCTTACTGTTTACCATAATGATTTATACTCAAATAAATACATTTTACATTACTACACCATGAGCGTTTTCATCTCTATTACCTGGCACTGAGCCTCCACATCTCAGCCCAGCATTTTAGGAGTCCACCCAGGCTGCAGGATTTGGGATATAGGTCCAGACCATCATCTCTGGCAGCCGTCACCCCATTAACCACCAAAGGATACCTTTATCATCAGGCTGTACCTTCACGGGACCTCCGGCTACATGGAATTTCTATGTGCACATTAAATTGCACTTCCGGTGAGTGGGCAATTTTTCTACACCTTCATGTTAGGATGCTGGAATATACCCATTTGGATTGAAGTCATATATACTCCATCACTGGAATATACCTATTTGGACTGATATCATATTACCTCGGACTTTTTATCATTCAGTTTATAGGACCTTTTCTACTTTTTGTCATATTTTGTCATATTTATGACAGTGTGTTTTATCTGTTTAGCGCTGCACACCCCATTTTTATGTTATATTCCTAGAAAGGCTTTGTGGTTCCTTTATGTGCATTAGCAGCTTTATATGGTGCGCTCGCTAACTCACACATTTATAGAATATTTTTAATGATCTATTGGATTTATAAATAAAATGTATTTTTAAAGAAGTGGCTTCTGTGTATTTAAAGGTTGCCCTTAAAATCGCATCAAATATAAGAAAAAAAAGACAGTGGAATATTTAGTAGCAAGGAAATTTCATGGATGGACTTATTGCACAGGTGGCAACCTATCACAGTACCACACTTGAATTCACTGAGGTCCTGAGAGCGACCCATTCTTTTGCAAATGTTTGTAGAAGCAGTCTGCATGACTAGGTGCTTGATTTTATACACCTGTGGCCATGGAGGTGATTGGAATACCTGAATCCAATGATTTTGAGGGGTGTGGCAATATAGTGTGTGTGTGTTTATGTTTATATGTATATGTATATGTATATATATTTATATATATATATATATATACAGTTGTGTTCAAAATAATAGCAGTGTGTTGAAAAAAGTGAATAAAGCTCAAAATCCTTCTAATAGCTTTTATTTCCATACACACAAATGTATTGGAAACACTACACATTCTATTCCAAATCAAAACATGAAGAAAAATATATCAACAAAATTTGTGTTGTTCTTCTAAAAAAATTGAAGAAAAGTGAATATTAGACTGTTCAAAAAAATAGCAGTGTTTGTATTCTTCTTTACAAACTCAAACATTCACTATATAAACTGCTTGAGTAAAAATGTTTGAAGATTTTGCTTTCCTTTGAATGACTTAATTAATATTTAGTTGTATAAGCACTGTTTCTGAGAACTGCTGGACATCTGTGTTGCATGGAGTCAACCAACTTCTGGCACCTGTGAACAGGTATTGTGAAAAGTATTGGGAACACTACACAGTCTATTCCAGCAGCCCAGGATGATTGGACTACATTCCACAGTTCTTCTCTATGTCTTGGTTTTGCCTCAGAAACTGCATTTTTGATGTCACCCCACAAGTTTTCTATTGGATTAAGATCCGGGGATTGGGCTGGCCACTCCATAACATCAATCTTGTTGGTCTGGAACCGAGATGTTGCACGTTTACTGGTGTGTTTGGGGTCGTTGTCTTGTTGGAACACCCATTTCAAGGGCATTTCCTTTTCAGCATAAGGCAGCATGACCTCTTCAAGTATTCTGATGTATTCAAACTGATCCGTGATCCCTGGTATGGGATAAATAGGCCCAACACCATAGTATGAGAAACATCCCCATATCATGATGCTTGCGCAGCCATGCCTCACTGTCTTCACAGTGTACTGTGGCTTGAATTCAGTGTTTGGGGGTCATCTGATAAACTGTCTCTGGCCACTAGACCCAAGAAGAAAAATCTTACTTTCATCAGTCCACAAAATGTTGTGCCATTTCTCTTTAGGCCAGTCAATGTGCTCTTTGGCAAATTGGAACCTCTTCAGCACATGTCTTTTTTTCAACAGTGGAACTTTGCGAGGGCTTCTTGCAAATAGCTTGGCTTCACATAGGCGTCTTCTAATTGTAACAGGACTCACAGGCAACTTTAGACCTTCTTTGATCTTCCTGGAGCTGATTGTTGGCTGAGTCCTTGCCATTTTGGCTATTCTTCTATCCATTCGAATGGTAGTTTTTCGCTTTCTTCCATGTCTTTCAGGTTTTGGTTGCCATTTTAAAACATTTGCGATCATTTTAGCTGAGCAGCCTATCATTTTCTGCACTTCTTTATATGTTTTCCCCTTTCCAATCAACGTTTTAATCAAGGTACGCTGTTCTTCTGAACAATGTCTTGAACGACCCATTTTCCTCAGAATTTCAGAGAGAAATGCACTGTAACCAGCATGTACAACATTTGCTGCCTTCCTTCCTTAAATAAGGGCAATAATTGCCACCTGTTTTTCAAAGAATGAATGACCTCACTAATAGAACTCCACACTGCTAGTATTTTGAACATGCCCCTTTCAATTAGTGATTCAATTACACAGAATCAGCAGCATGCATGTCATGACTGTTGGGTCTGTTGGATTTCTATTACTCTACTACACCTGCTAATAAATTATTTGCCATGTAGAAATATCATTTCGACCAAAAACAGGGATTGATCAGGTTAGTGATATCTGACTGCTATTATTTTAAACACAACTGTATGTATGTATGTATGTATGTGTATATATATATATATATATATATATATATATATATACATACATACATCCTTTCTATGTTACAGCTACTTGAGAGTGTCAGTCCAGTCTCTTGTGTTTCTGTAAATGGGTAATATAAACATTTCTGTTTTCACTGTGCGTTCCTGTGTGATTCGCATGCAATCCGGGTGCAGTGCAATTTCAGACCTTTCATTTGAACGAACTGAAATCGTACTGGACTGCACCAAAAGCAGTGCAGGTAGTACATGTATTAAAAAATGCACAAAACTGGATCACATTGTATCAGGACAGTGGGCCCTCCCCCCCACACTGGCACTGATAGGCGGCACTGATTGGCAGCACTGATAGGTGGCACTGATTGGCATTGATAGGTGGCACTGACTGGCACTGATGGGTGACACTGAAAGGCAGCTCAGATGGACACTGATATGTGGCATTGATGTGCACTGGTAGGCATTGATATGTGGCATTGATGTGGCACTGTTCAGCACTGACAGCTGGCATTGATGGACACTGACAGGTGGCACTTCTGGGGCCACACTGATCATCAGGGCACACTGATCATCAGTGCCCTGATGATCAGTGTACATGTCCCCTCCGTGGAATGCAGATTTCCGGCTCTCCTCTCCTCCCGAGCTGTCAGCGTGACAGCTCGTGAGGAGAGAAATGCCGATAACCGGCATTTCCCTGTTTACATGTGATCAGCTTTGATTGGACACAGCTGATCACATGACCAAGCCGACATCTTTGGCTCTTTCCGTGGATCGGTGATCCGCTGTGTCAGAGGGACACAGCGCACCGCCGATCGCTGCATGCTGAGAATGGGAGGACGTCATATGGGGGTTTATTTACTAAAGCTGGAGAGTCCAAATTCAGACTCCCTTCTGCATAGAAACCAATCAGCTTCTAACCTCAGCTTGTTCAATGAAGCTTTGGCAAGGAAACCTGGAAGCTGATTGGTTTCTATGCAGAAGGGAGTCTGATTTTGGACTCTCCAGCTTTAGTAAATAAACCCCATGATGTCCTCCCAGAACGAGAGAACCAAGTTGCGCCCGTCATTGGACTATATGGTTGGCGGGAGGTGGTTAAAGCGGAGCTCCACCCAAAAGGGGAAGTTCCACTTTAATGTTTTGTCCCCGCTCCCCATTTAGGATCGGCACCTTTTGGGGAGCGGGTACCTGAATTTGACAGGTACCCACTCCCACTTCAGCTGCAATTGCCTAGGCAATTGGAAGCAGAAGTTATCCTCCCTGCCTTCCCTCCCCGTAGTCTTCTGGGACACGTGACAGGTCCCAGAAGACTACGGGACCATGCACAAAGCACAGCGCTTCTCGCACATGCACAGCCAGGTGCCCACACTAAAGATACCGGCGCCAGGGAGAGCAGACAGTGAAACCAGCAGTGGTGAGGACACCGCTGGACTGAGGGACAGGTAAGTGGCTGTATTTTAAAAGTCAGCAGCTACAGTTTTTGTAGCTGCTGACTTTTTTTTTTTTCAGCTGGAACTCCGCTTTAAGCACTACCTACTGGATGCTATGGACCCAGCCACTATTTTACCAGGGATGTAGCAGATCTATCTTTAAAACACATTTCTTTAAAAGCATTCTTAAAAAAATATATATATTTATATAAATAAATTGATTTGTCATCTTAGCAGGAAAAATGTTTTTAAAGCAAAACTGTGACCAGACTAAGGGCATTATTTTAATGAAATATTTTTAACAAGGAATGAATCTGCTTTAATAATCCTTCATTGACATCTATAACTGCAGGCACAGAGGATCACACCAGAACCACTGAAGTCATTTTTTCTCAGCGGCCAAGCTCACCCTGCTTCCCCTGACCAGAGTACCTGTTCTGTACTTCAACTACTAGTTATTAAAAGGCTGAAAGGCTATAGGATAACTGCTGGGAGGGGAAAACAGGGTGGGCTGAACTGTTGAGGGAATGACTTAGACAGCTGTGGTGCTGCCATTGTGAACTTTGAGAATGAATTGCCCCACAGTACTTGCAGCTACAGAGGTCAGTAAGGACTATTTTAAGCTTTACTTCATGGGTGCTCAACCTGTGGCCCTCCAGCCTTAGGTATGATTGGATTTGTAGTTCAGCTACAGCTGGAGGGCCAAAGGTTGAGCTTTAATGCTTTATTTACTGCTTGTGTAAATAGGTAGATGCCTACATTACCATAGCCTGTCTGCATATGTACGTTAAGCTATTTAGATGTATTTGTGTCCTTACCATTGTTGCTTCTGTGCAATTCTTGTCTTCATTACTTAGTAAATAATAACATTTTTCATAAGCGACTGCCATTTATATGCTTAAAGTTTCATCCTAACACATCTGTATATTCCAGCTGAAGTAGATGAGAGCTTGATGCACGTGCAATGTGATGGAAGTATAGTGGATAAATGCACGTAGACTCTACTAGAATTTAGCTGCAAGGACTGTTTATATTTTGAAAGAAAGCGTGTGCAGAGTGATGAGTATGTTTCAGTCTCTTTGTTTACTCAGTGGATTTTGCTTTGTATCTGAACTTCACATTCCAGTTTTTCAACAGTGATTATGGAAATGTTCCTTCAAGATGAACATGCTGAAAGCGAAAATGTAAAAATGCGTTAGTGTTCTGTGATCATAATGTATTCACATAAGATAAGATTTTGTCTACGAATTACTCCTTGTACTTCAAAAAGGAAAAGTAAGCGAAAGGAGTCTTTGCCTAATGGCCATGATTTTCATTTAGACATTTCCCATACATTTTAGTTTTTTTGTTGATGTTATTTTGTATGTATTTTTATAAGAAATAATACATTATTTAAACTACAAGCTGTTCTGTGTTCACTTTTTCAATAAAATGTTTTTAAGTTGAATTCTGGACATATAAAACATACTACTTAATGCAGTCATGTATACACTAAAAAAATTACTACATACAGGGGGTAAAATAAGTATTTAACACATCATAATTTTTCTCAGTAAATTTATTTCTAAGGTGCTATTGACATTTAATTTTCACCACATGTTGGTAACAGCCCGTGCATCCCATACATACAAAGAAACCAAAACAAATAAGTTCAGAAATGATGTGTAATAAAATGGAATGTTACAGGGAAAAAGTATTGAACACGAGAACTGAAATTTATTTAATACTTAATACAAAATCCTTTGTTGGTAATGGCAGCTTCAAGATGCCTCCTGTATAAAGAAACTAGCCGCATACATTGCTCAGGTGTGATTTTGGGGTGATGTGCAGTGCCATTTGACATGGTGTGTATTAAGACATCCAAAGAGTTCAATTTTGGTCTCATCTGACAAGAATATTGTCTCCTAGTATTTCACAGGCTTGTCTAAATGTTGGGCAGCAAACTTTAAAAACAAGTTTCAGCATGCTTTTTCTTCAGAAATGGAGTCTTGCGTGGTGAGTGTGCATATAGGCAATGGCGGCTGAGTGCATTACCTATTGTTTTCTTTTAAACAATTGTACCTGCTAAGTCCAGGTCTTTCTGGAGCTCTCCAGTGGTCTTTGGCTCTTGAACAACTCTTCTGATAATTCTTTTCACTCCTCTATCAGAAATCTTGCGAGGAGCACCTGGTCGTGGTGTTTATGGTGAAATGATGTTCTTTCCACTTTCGGATTATGGCCCCAACAGTGCTCACTGGAACATTTTAGAAGTTTAGATATCTTTCTGTAACCAGTGCAATCAGTATGTTTTGAAACAATAGGGTTGTGAAGGTCTTGAGCGATCTCTTTGCTTTTATCCATCATGAGATGTTTCTTGTTTAACACCTTGGTAATGAGACACCTTTTTATAGGCCATCAGTTAAGACTGAACCAGCTGATATTAATTTGCACTGACAAGGGGCAGGGTTGCTTTCTAATTGCTGACAGAGTTCAGCTGGTGTCTTGGCTTTCCATGCTTTCTTCATGTGTTCAATACTTTTTCCCTGTGTCATTCCATTTTATTACACATAACTTATTTCTAAACCTATTTGTTTTGTTTTCTTTGTGTGTATAGATTGCATGGGTTGTTACCGACATGTGGTGCACATTTCATGCCAATAGCATCTTTAGAAATACATTTACCTAGAAAAATGGTGACGTGTTCAATACTGATTTTACCCGCTGTATAAGTTGCAAAATTTGTCTTGATATCGGCTTCTTGTGATCCTCTATGAGGCAGCACTTATACTGGGAGAGGTTGGACCTACACTAGAAGCCAGTCAAGCTCTGTTGCATACAGTGAATATAAAAAGTCTACATACCCCTGTTAAAATGTCAGGTTTCTGTGATGTAAAAAAAAAGAGACAAAGATAAATCATTTAAGAACTTTTTCCACCTTGTAATGTAACCTATAAACTGTACAACTCAGTTGAACAACAAACTGAAATCTTTTAGGTGCAGGGAAGTAAAAATAAAAAAAACTAAAATAATATGGTTGCATAAGTGTGCACACCTTAAACTAATACTTTGCTGAAGCACCTTTTAATTTTATTACAGTACTCAGTCTTTTTGGATTTCATCAGACCATAACACATTCCCACATGCTTTTGGGAGACTTCAAATGTTATTTTGCTAAATTGGATGGCTTGGATGTTTTCTTCATAAGAAAAGGCTTCCATCTGGCCACTCTAACCCATAGCCCAGACATATGAAGAATATGTGAGATTGTTGTCACATGTACCACATGTACCACACAGCCAGTACTTGTCAGATATTCCTGCAGCTCCTTTAATGTCGCATTGGCTTTTGCTATAAGATGCAACTAAGAAAATGTCAGGAAAGACCTACTAGAACAGCTGAACTTTATTTGGGGTTAATCAGAGGCACTTTAAATGATGGCAGGTGTGTACTGACTATTTATTGTGATTGTGAATGTGATTGCTTAATTCTGAATGCAGCTACATCCCCAGTTATAAGAGGGTGTGCACACTTATTCAACCACATTATTTTAGTTTTTTATGTTTACTCCCTCCCCCCCCCCCCCCCCAAAAAAAAAAAAGATTTCAGTTTGTTTTTCAATTGAGTTGTACAGTTTATACAGTTGTGTTCAAAATAATAGCAGTCAGACATCACTAACCTGATCAATCACTGTTTTTGGTAGAAATTATATTTCTACATGGCAAATAATTTACTAGCAGGTGTAGTAGAGTAATAGAAATCCAACAGACCCAACAGTCATGACATGCATGCTTCTGATTCTGTGTAATTGAATCACTAATTGAAAGGGGCATGTTCAAAATAATAGCAGTGTGGAGTTCTATTAGTGAGGTCATTCATTCTTTGAAAAACAGGTGGCAATTATTGCCCTTATTTAAGGAAGGAAGGCAGCAAATGTTGTACATGCTGGTTACAGTGAATTTCTCTCTGAAATTCTGAGGAAAATGAGTCGTTCCAGACATTGTTCAGAAGAACAGCGTACCTTGATTAAAACGTTGATTGGAGAGGGGAAAACATATAAAGAAGTGCAGAAAATGATAGGCTGCTCAGCTAAAAGAATCGCAAATGTTTTTAAAATGGCAACCAAAACCTGAAAGACGTGGAAGAAAGGGAAAAACTACCATTCGAATGGATAGAGAATAGCCAAAATGGCAAGGACTCAGCCAACAATCAGCTCCAGGAAGATCAAAGAAGGTCTAAAGTTACCTGTGAGTACTGTTACAATTAGAAGACGCCTATGTGAAGCCAAGCTATCTGCAAGAAGCCTCCGCAAAGTTTCACTGTTGAAAAAAAAGACAC